GTCGAATTTAAATTTAAATATAAATGATTATTTGATGATTGTAATTAAAAAATAATAACTGCCCAAGTAAATACCACGATAAAGACTCTACCAGCTGGTGGAAAAGCAAAGACTGAACCAAGACATAACAGCCTTCTTCTTCTCTAGTTCACATCCTCGTTTCAAAAGCTTTAAATGTTTCTACAGACAGATTTCTGAACGTTGTCTCATTAAACATCGAGAAAAATATTATAGAAACCTAAAGCTTGTCAAACAGCTGCAGATGTTGTGCAGCCTGTTCCTTTCAGACATGAGGGGAATTAGCTCAAATGGTAGAGCGCTCGCTTAGCATGTGAGAGGTAGCGGGATCGATGCCCGCATTCTCCACAACATCTTTCTTCTCTCATCTCAAACAGCAGTCCTCCAGCTCGTACTGTGCCTATAGTTTATGTTGGAATGAAGATCACAGTCAGGTGACAGTAGTTGTGGTTTCCATGAACATGGAGACTCCACGCAGAAAGGTCCTGGGTGTCCTCACTGGGACGTGAACCAGCGACCTTCTAGCTGCGAAGCAACAATGCTAACAAAGGAGAGTAGTGAGGGAGGTCAGTGGAGAATCTTTCAATTACTTAAATGCAGCTCGAGGAGACAAGAAGCAAAGAGGAGTTTAGAGCCTGTAAATACTTTTATCACCTTTGTTGTTGCTGATTCTTCTCTATCTCCTGCAGAGCAAAGAGGCCTGTAGTGGCCTTCAGAGCTGCTGAGAGCAAACGTGCATTGATTTTCGTTTGTAAAACATTAAAAGACTGAGCGCAGACGTAATCCTTGTTACTGGGGTTTAATATTGTCGTTGAAATCTTCGGAGTCTAATTGCAGAACACAGGCCGGGCCGCGGTTTGAAGGTTTAACCCTGAAACGCTTGAGCAGCAGCAGCAGCAGCAGCTCCATCGGGGCCGAAGCGTGAGCAGAGCTTTTCATGTGTCGGACTCCAGAGCTGAAGTGTTTTCCTTCTTCTCCGGCAGCCTGCGGCCAACAGCCTGAGGCCAGAGGAAGAAAAACCACATGAAGCCCTGAATTAGATGAAGCCGTAAATATTTGATGAGCTGCAGCTTCACGGGCGTCCAAGGTCACGAGACTCCGCAGCGTCGCACAAACACACAGTGGCTGGACGACGACAACCAGCTTCTGTGGACACAAGCATGACCGCATGAACACGGGCAGAAGCTGCTCAGTATTACAGACGTGACACGTTACCAACCGCTAGCCGCTAAAGTCGAACCTCATCCTCCATTTCATTACACACATCAAATCTAGGCCATTTCTGCATTTCTGTTTCCAGATTTATTTCAGTTTCTTCATGTCTTAATATGTGGTCAACCTCTACCCTCATGAATGTACAGACACAGAAATAAATAAATTAAGATTTTTAGGGAAAAAAATGATTAGGTTTAGAAATAAACAGATGTAAACAAAACAAAACAAAACAAAACAAAACAAAACAAAGAAAAAGGAAGAAAAGCAAAAATGCATAAATGGAGAAATTTTGACATAAATGTGTTCATTTCTGAATAAATAAATGAAGGAAGAAATTCAGCAAAAAATAGAAATACATAATGAATAAATGTATGTTTTTTAGAAAAAAAATTAAGTGTGGCAAAAACCAAATAAATGTAGTAAATAAATAAATAATCACACAAATAAAGAAATAATTTACAATTTACATTTTGAAATACATACATTACATTTTGAAATAAAAAAATTATTTTGAAATAAAAAATTAAGAAATTCTGACATAAAAAAACATGTAAATTTATAAATAAATAAATGAAGGTAGAAATTCAGAAAAAAATATGATTTTTTTTTTTAGAAAAAAATATTAGGTGTAGAAATAAGTGAATAAACAAAAAAACAAATATGTAAACTTATGTAATATGTAAATAAATACGTGAAGAAATTCTGACATAAATTTGTAGTTTATAAATAAATAAAGTTATAAATTCAGAAAAAAATATAGAAATA